CTCGTGATTCATGACATGCGCACGTTTTACTGACATCACAATAGTACAAATTGCAACGTTAAGCGCTCCTTATGTGACGTCATTTTAGTCTTTACTGACTGACAACACACTACTGTATCGTGGTGCGGGTTGTTAAAATAGATGACTCCTCCAGACAGCCTTAACCCCCTTTCGGGGAAATAATATATATATATATAATAGTACTGTCTGTTATCTGTCCATGTAACTACTTCGTAGGCTATGGCTGGATCTTCACCAAATATGGTATGGAGGTTCATTGGGTCCATGCAGAGAAACGTCCAAACTTGCGGTTTCACATTTTGTATTTATCAGTTTCTATGGGCGTTTTTTACAATTACATATAAGGGAAGCAACTTTTCATGTCCTAAGATAACCTTTTCATTAACCATAAATTTATATAACTTCCATCCAGGGGACGGGTACTCCAGCTAGATTAATAAATAATTTATTAATCCTTACCTAAAAATTAAATTTTAAATGACTAAACGTAAAAATGATATCAATCTCATCCTAACAGTTATTCTCCATGAAAATCGATGATACAAATATCGCCTACACCACTAATACGTCTGATGTATCCCAGCCTACCCGATGATCCATAGTATTGGTCAAAAGGCCTCGTCGGCACTAGATACAGCAAATGTTGTGTGGTTATTCTCCGTTGCCGGGATTTGTAATAAATATGGAAACCATGAACAGGGGAACTTTCAAAGAAAATTTGTTGATGATCACGTTCTTTATTCGTATCACTGAACAAATTATTGTACATGATACGAAGTTCCTAAACACTGACAAGTTTCAGTACTTGCAGACATGCATATATTGCTAATAACATATAAAAAGAAGAAATATAACAAGTATTATTACGACATTGAAAAATTAATGATATTATTCCACAGACTATATAGGTCACTATACATCCGCTGCTAAGTGGTTTGGTATCGTAACAATTTCGAGCTTCAAAGTGCTCATTGTGTAATGACAGCAACTGACCAGTTGGAGAGGTCAGCCCTTTCACCATTTTTCGTATGATTTTCTTTACTTTTTCTGGCTCTTCCAACACTTACACACAACTGGTGTTCTTAAAACAATTTTACATCACTGGATTCACAACACCACGTCTATATTTTACATCACTGAATTCACAACACCAAGTCTATATTTTACATCACTGAATTCACAACACCACGTCTATATTTTACATCACTGGATTCACAACACCAAGTCTATATTTTACATCACTGGATTCACAACACCAAGTCTATATTTTACATCACTGGATTCACAACACCAAGTCTATATTTTACATCACTGGATTCACAACACCAAGTCTATATTTTACATCACTGGATTCACAACCCCAAGTCTATATTTTACATCACTGGATTCACAACCCCAAGTCTATATTTTACATCACTGGATTCACAACACCACGTCTATATTTTACATCACTGGATTCACAACACCCCAGTGATGTAAAATATAGACGTGGTGTTGTGAATCCAGTGATGTAAAATATAGACTTGGTGTTGTGAATCCAGTGATGTAAAATATAGACTTGGTGTTGTGAATCCAGTGATGTAAAATATAGACGTTATGACTGTTTCTGATGGCTACCATGACAAACAATCTCTGGTTACCCATGTTCTCGATAGATGGAATCCGATACAGGTAAACAACAGGAAGGACCTCCATTTCTTTGTTGAATTCTCCTGCTAGACATGTGTGACCAGCTTGTGCGTAGCCAAAAATACACTTTCCGGTTTGGATTAATTTTGGTAGATACAATTTAAACATTAAAATAACAAGTAACTCAAAACATCTTGAGAATTGAATACTGAAACAAAATTAATTATTACAACAATTGTTATGGCGTGAACGCCTTTTTCAATCTGGCATTAAAGCATTAGTATCAGGCTTATTATATTTTTAACCCTACATTCCTTGTTATGGTCTTTTCACGAAGAAGAAAAGTGTACAGCAATAGTATTTCAACTATACTATGTCCCCCCCCCCCGTATTCATTTGCCGACGACGCGTTTCGCTCAATCCAGAGCTCTTCAGGCCAGGTGGGATACAATATACATAGTAACACTGTTTATATAAGCCATTTGATACAACAGTTGTTATGAAATGGCTATTCTAAGCTCGATACTATTGTATTCTATTATTATTGTTCATGTCAAGTCCCCAAGGGACTGAATAAGAAATTTAGTGTTCAAAATATAACGGATCTAATACTGATGTCTTGTGACAAATGTAATAAAAACTAATTAAATTTTGAAAATGTGAGAACCTGATCCCTCGTCTTTACAAGTAAACAGAACAACTATGTACTTAACAGGGACAATGGTAGGAACCCTAATCGGGGACAAGGGTAGGAACTCCTAACTGGAGACATTGGTAGGAACCCTAATCGGATACAAGGGTAGGAACTCCTAACTGGAGACATTGGTAGGAGCCCTAATCGGATACAAGGGTAGGAACTCCTAACTGGAGACATTGGTAGGAACCCTAATCGGATGCAAGGGTAGGAACTCCTAACTGGAGACATTGGTAGGAACCCTAATCGGATACAAGGGTAGGAACTCCTAACTGGAGACATTGGTAGGAACCCTAATCGGAAACAAGGGTAGGAACTCCTAACTGGAGACAATGGTAGGATCCCTAATCGGATACAAGGGTAGGAACTCCTAACTGGAGACATTGGTAGGAACCCTAATCGGATACAAGGGTCTACTTAATCTTTAAATAGAATTATTGTACAGGGCTATACTTGTTAATCTCAGAATGTAAACACCAGGGCTACAGTTGTTAACCTCAGGATCTAAACATCCCATTGTAAACTTTAATGTTAACTAATTGTCATTTATTTATACACTAACTAATCGTCATTTATTTTCATCAGAAATTACATAGAGAAACGACTAGATAATGTGTTAAACGAACGAGAGTTATGTCTGAATGTTAATCTGCACGTGGACAATCAAATCTACTGTTAGTGTAGAACGTATATCTTCAATATAATAATAATACTCCAGAATTATCAATTACACACACACACACTATATTAAATAAACAGAGAAGAAATAACGAATCAAAGATTAAAAAAAAGCACGCCAATATTCAACCATACTTTACGTATACATACACACGTATATCACAAGTATAAGACAAACTGCAAATCCTAAGATATTTCAACTGGACTTGTCCCCAGGCCTCCCTTCTGAAAGTGTTACTTTTATTGCTTTTGTTTTTTTTGTAGATATTCGGTAACTATTACAA